TTCCAGATAGCTCTCTTCCCACGTTTTTCACTCTTATAAAAGGGGAAGAATATCTTTTAAAGGAAAAGACCATAATACCCTTAATTTCCTTTAATAATTACTAAATAACCTTCATTATATATTCAAATAATCATTGAATTATTTCATTCTTCTACTTTAGTCATCAAATTCTGAAACTTTATAATTTGATCACTAACCCAGTATTGATGATGTTACATAAGTTGTACATGGCTAGGTATGATGACATGAAACCCCTTAATGTTCATGAAGCAATTCAGTCACCTTATTGGAGAGCAGCAGTGCATGCAGAGATTGAAGCCTTAAGGAGGAATGACACGTGGACCCTAGTGAAGTTACCTGTAGGATGGTCAGTCGTGGGGTACAAATGGCTGTTCAAATTGAAAAAGAACCCTGATGGTTCTATTAGAAGGTATAAAGCAAGGTTAGTAGCTAAAGGTTTTTCACAAATGGCAGGGCATGTTTTTGGTGAAACATCCAGTCCAATTATCAGGTTTGCAATACTGAATGTAGTCATTTCATTAGCTGTTACAAATGGCTGGCAGTTATGTCAGGTGGATGTCAACAATGCGTTTCTACATAGTGACTTGCATGAAGAGGTGTTCATGCAGCAGCCACCTGGGTTCGAGCAAGTAGTTGCTAATGGTAGCCCTTTGGTGTGCAGGTTAGAAAAGGCGTTGTATGGCTTACACCAAGCCCCTCAAAATTGGCATGATAAACTGAAAGGTTGCCTGCTTATAATTGGCTTTAAAGAATCTTCAGCATGCACGTCTCTCTTTGTTCGTTGGGATGATGGTCAGTGTGTTTACATACTAGTGTATGTTGATGACATAGTGCTGATTGGAAGGTCTAACAAGCAGATTGAAGAAGTGGTGAAGTTGCTTGGAAGAGAGTTTGCCCTGAAGGATCTTGGTGACCTTAATTATTTCTTGGGCATAGAGGTTAAACACTGTGGTAGTTCCTTAATTCTCAGTCAAAGGAAGTTTATACTGGAATTGTTAATGAAAACGAAAATGAGCACTGCTAATCCTGCATCAACACCAATGTTGGTGTCTGCTAAGTTGAGTCAAGATGAGGGGGTGCTGCTTTAGGATGCCTATGAGTATCGAAGCATTGTAGGGGCATTATTGTATGCTTGTCACACTCGTACAGATATTACCTTCAGTGTCAACAAGGCATCACAGTACATGCATGCTCCAAGGAAAGAGCATTTGGTTGCAGTTAAGAGGATTCTGAGGTATTTGGTGGGAACGATTAATCACGGTCTGGTCATAGCACCTGCAGTAGCAGAATTCAATGTAGTGGCCTTTGTAGATGTTGATTGGGCTGCAAGCAAAGATGATCAAAAATCTGTGTTTGGTTATTGTGTGTTTGTAGGTGACAACCTTATAATGTGGAACTCGAAGAAGAAAAAGTCCGTATCCAGATCAACTATGGAGGCTGAGTATAGAAGTGTAGCAGATGTTACTGCTGGAACAACTTGGGTAGATGCTCTTCTAAGTGACTTAGGCATTGCAAGGCAGAAAATTCCTATAGTTTGGTGTGATAACAGCAGTGCTGTAGCCATGACAACTAATCCTGTCTATCATGCAAAGAGTAAACATGTTGAACTTGACGTTCACTTTGTTCGTGAGAAGGTGGCATTGAAGCAAGTGTTGGTGAACTATGTACAGGGAGTCACCAGGTTGCTGATGGATTTACAAAACCATTGGATGCTGCTCGGTTTGAAGTGTTTAAATCTAGGGTGAATGTGCAGTCTTTCCTATTGGAGGAAGAAGAAGAAGTAGGGAGAATATTGAATGATAGATGATGTGTATAGTTAGTTAAGGAAGCTGTTAGGAGCAATTTCTAGTTGGTTAGTTGTTGAGAAGTTAAGGGCTACTGTAAATGCTGTAAATTCTTGTATATAAGGAGTATTATGAATCAATAAATGCAGGCATTATGAGTCAATACTTTACTATTATATGTTGTATTATCACAAGGTCCAAACGACACGAGTTCATCGTTGTTAGCCTCAAAGTTGAACTGACCGGCGAAGGGAAATATGAGAAACCTACGGACTACGGATGCGGGCATACGGTGTTGGTGGAGGAAGATGAAGAAAAGCAAAAAAAGGGATAATTAAAGATTTATCCCTAAAGTACTTTTTATTTGCAAAAAGACTCATAATTTGTTTTTTTAAAATCTAAGACTTAAGTATGCAAAAGTTGTCCAACTCCGTTTTTCTAGTTTAGTGTTTAACGTTTATTTCGTTCTAGTTTAAAGCCTAACATTTCAGTCCATTACTCAAAATGGGTCCAGCCGTGACCGTTAAGTTTGATCGTTAACTCATTAAAAAGGTCATCGATATTTTTTTAATATTAAAAAATGATTTATGAAAATAAGAAATTAATTCATCTATTTTAATTAATTTCTTCTTCCTTAAATGCAACATTCATCTCTGCAGCTTAAATACCCATTTCTTCTTTCTCTTTCGCTTAGCTCTTTTTTCTCGGGAAAAATGGATAATAGCAATGTTCTTCACAATCGACGACGAAACCAGAGGTTTTCCGCTGAAGAAGATGGTTGTTGTTCTAACTATGGAAAACCCATTTTTAATTCAAACCACAAGAGAAAAGCTCGAACCACGATGGAGATCCACTCTGACGACTGTGTAAGGTAGAAGATTTCCAGCTCAAGGTGAATTAAGTTATTGGGAACATAAAAGGAGTTTGGGTCAGGTCAGAGGTTGTGGTGGGATGAGTGTGACGGACCCGATTACCCAGAAGATGAATTCAAGATGGCATTTAGGATGAGCAAGTCGACGTTTGAGCTCATTTGCTCTGAGCTCACTTGCTCTGAGCTCACCTACGAAGACGATGACACCGTCACATTTAGGCAAAGAGTGCGGGTTTGCATACGACTTTTGGTGATGGGAGAACCGTTTTGACTCATCTCAAAACGGTTCAGTTTACCTATCCCGACGTGTTGTGGATCGATCCTCTTCGTTTGTTCGGCGATACACACCGTTTTAATGCCCAAGTATCTACGATGGCCGGACAAGAATTTGTTACGAGAAACAAAACAAGAGTTCGAAGCCATCTCGTGGTCGACCATAATGGAATTTTCACCGACGTTTGCATAGGCTGGCCGGTATCAATGAATGACGATCAAGTTTTGCATAAATCATCTCTTTATCAAAGAGCAAACGACGGGTTCTTCAACGGAGTTTGGATCGTGGGGGGCAAAAGGTATCCATTAATGGAATGGGTTACAATGATTGACATGGACACAGCATGGGTTTAATAAGAATATTAGAGAGATCCAGAGAGTTGCTAAAGAAGCATTCATTTTTTAATATTAAAAAATATGTCAAGTGATATTTTTAATAGATTAACTGTTAAATTTAACAATCCGTCAAGTTTTGATCCATTTTGAGTAACGAAATAAAACGTTAGACACCAAATTAAAACGAAATAAACGTTAGACACTAAACTGGAAAAACAAGCATAGGTTAGACATCTTTTCTATACTTAAGCCTTTATCTAAAGTTTAGGGGTTAAAATAAAATAACATTCTTTTATTAACTTGTCATATCACCGATCTGTTAGTGGTCTAACGACAATTAACCTTTAGTGATTATATCTTTATTAAATAAAGACAAAAATAATCAAATATTATGTTTTTTTTAAATTAATAAAAAAATGAACAAAACATACACGAAAGTGATTACCAATGTAGTTAACCCTTATTTTTCTATATTAAGCTAAACGTATAGTTTTACTTTAAAACTTTTTGAAAAATTCGTTTTTATTCATATAATTTTAATTTACTTTAAAAAAAATTATAATATAATTATAATTCAAACACCAAATTTTAATTTATCAATCCCAATATTTCACTTAAAAGAATATTTTTTTGAAAATTATCATTTATTAATTATCAATATCTTTATTAAAATTATCATTAACTATCATTAATTTTATAGATTATTCTATTATTCTAAACAATTTTTCATTACTCATTATCTATTTATTAATTTATTTTTCTTATCCACAATATATCCCTAATTTTATCTTTTTTTATTCTGAAAAATTTTAAAATTTAATTCATGGTTCTACTTCTAGAAATCATTTCCTACAAAAATATGAAGAAACAAATATAGATAATTACGATTATTCAATCGCTCAGTTCGATTGACCGATCGAACTGACCAAAAATCAATAATTGAAATTTGTTTACCTTTAATCGAAGCGATTTTTTTGATCGAATTGAACAATTTTGGTTAATTCGGCTGGTTAACCGAATTAACTTAAATTTTAAACAATATATATTATATATTAAATATTTTCAATTAATTCAGTCGGTTAACTTGGTTTAAATCGAAATTTAAACACTATTAAAGTTATGTAATATATAAATAATGTTAAATATTTAAAAATTTTCAATTAATTCGATTAATTAACCGATTTCGAATTGAATTAGCAGATAACCGAATTTTGAAAAGATCATTAACTGTTAACCGATCGAACATAAAATTAACCTACAAATTAATAAAAAATTTTGATTTAATCGATTTAATGAACACTCCTATAAACAATGTGGCTAACTAACCAAATGTATTATTCTAATTTTATCTATTTTGTAAAATACTTTTAATTATTTCATTTATATCAATTTCATATAGCGTGATCATATCATATACCGCGTACTATATGGATAGTGATGGGGCTTGTGCAGTTAGAGGTAGCTGTCAAAAGCTGCTTTTGAACCGTCGCTACTTTGTTGTTATAAAGGCTGATGAATTTCCAAAAGTAGACAAGTAAAAAAACTACCTCTACCTCTGCCACTGTTACTACCGGCATCAGATGCTTCTCTGTCACAGATTTTGTACCCAATTTTAAGAAGATCCCTCCATTATTAGTTGGTTAACAAAAAAAAATAAAAAATACTGCCCTTGAACTTTATAAAAATAATTTCTTTCTATATTTTCACCATTTTTCGATTTTCAGTAAGTTCTGGGGTTGTCAAAGACAATGAGAGGTTTTGATAGAACAGTGGATTGGCTTAGACCATTTGTTGATAGTAAAGGTTGGGACTTTTGTGTTGTTTGGAAATTGGGTGATGATCCTTCTAGGTACACGCCATTCATCACCATAACCAATAATCATCTTCATTCTTTCTTCCTTTTTGGAGACTCAAATGAAGCTCTTGTTTCTTTGTTTTTGGTTTCTTCTTGAAGGTTTATTGAATGGAAAGGTTGCTGTTGTAGCGCTTGTTTTCATGTCAAAGAGGAAAAAGATGAATTGCAGAAGCCATTGGGTCCCTTTTGCAGGGATTCTCATTTTCAACATCCCATAAGATCAGAGGCTTGTGAAGCTCTCTCACATTTTCCTTTTCTCATTTCTCTCTATTCCGGGTAAACATTGTTCTCTCAAATTATAGAGTTTTCAGTTTTGGAAATTCAATAAAAAGAAAGACAAGTATTCTGATTTTATGACAGTGAAAAGGACAGGATTCATGGAGATGTTGCTATGTCCAATAAGCCAAGTTGGATTAGCTATGGAAATGCCTCTGCTTCACATTCTTTACATCATGTGTGTACTTTCCACGCTCTTCTCTTAACTTACATTTTCTCGGTCTAGAACTTGCAGTAGTTTAAGTTGGATCAACAAATGTGAATGTTATCTCCTTGAACCGTAATTTTTGCCAAATGATCAATGTGTTTCTATATTTTGATATGATCAATGTGTTTTTGACAGGAAATGACCGGAACCCGAGTTCTGATCCCGGTTTTCGGCGGTCTGATCGAGCTCTTTGCTTCGAGACATGCAAGATTCCTTGGCCTTTGTCATTGATTTCCTTGCAATCTATTACTGTCTTTCTAATAAACATGTTCATTCATCCATTTTCATGCAGATACCGAAAGATCACAGCCTCATAGAGTTAGTAACATCTCAATGCAATGCAGTTTTAAAACCAGAACTCTCAAGTGCAGAAAGCTATACAAAAGCAAATCTTGACAGATGGTATAACTTGCCATTTTCCATTAGCTTGTCGACCTCTGTTCCGAGAATAGGATCGATTCCACCGGTATCAGATTCGAGCTCCCTTCTTAGTTTGGATGGATCATACTGTGGTTCCAGTCCTTCAATTGAACATCCACCCTTTGCTTCTGATTCTGCCTACATGTCTCAAGGCGAGAAATTCAAGCACCCAATTGGCACACATTATGGAACAAAGAGACTAAGATGCAGCAAAAATGTGTCTGAGCAACAAGCAAGGTTTGTTCCGGATTGCGACGAGTCCGTAAACAACAGAATGCAAACAACCGAGAAGCCAGAGAAAGAGAAATACCATTCTAAGAATCTCGTCTCAGAGAGGAACCGAAGGAAGAAGATAAATGAACAGCTCCTCAAGCTAAGAGCTTTAGTCCCTAAGATATCCAAGGTTACCTTGAACTAACATTACATAAATAGCACGATAACAAAGTTAATTTCACTCTTCTGCCTTCTTATTAGACATATCGTTGTTTCCAAATTTGCAGATGGATAAATCTGCTATTCTCACGGATGCCATCGAATACATAGGAGATTTGCAGCAGGAGAAGAAGAAACTCGAAAACGAGCTCATGGAAATCAAGGACAACATGTCTGCTGTTAAGCCTAACCAAGTTTCATCCGGCCTTACTGAGACGTTGAAAACGGAGGTAACCGAAATGGAAATTAAACACTGGTTTTGTTGTTACATTTGTCACAAGTTTCCATCATTGAAAACTTTCTACCGAACTTATGTTGAATATTTTTCTCAGGTACATGTAGAAGTGAACCAGATAACAAAAAGAGAGTTCTTGATTAAGCTCCACTATGAGCACAATAGAGGCAGCTTTGCAAAGTTGATGGAAGGCATAGATTCTTTGGGACTTCAAGTGATTGACGCTAATGCCACAACGTTTAATGAAAAGGTTCTCAGCATTTTCAAAGTTGAGGTAAGTCTCACTGGATGGTTCATATACTACGATTCGACTGATATACATCGACACGAGTATCCAACATAAATAGGAGTCGAAGCAACAGAGATTTCTCGAATCATTATAATTCTTGTTTAACTAATGAAATTCTGACATGTTTTTTTTCTGCTAACACTGTGTTTTTAACTTATGCAAAGGCAAACAGGGATTTTCAATCCAGGAAATTGAGAGACTTGTTGACCAACTTAACAAAGTAGGTAAATCACATTCCTGGTTCAATATACAGTAAAAGAAAATGTAGATTCAGGGTTGAGATTGAAGCAATGTATAGTAAAAATGGACAGCTTTGTTCTTACACATGTAGTTTTTTTTTTTTTTTTTACCAATTTCTACATACAAATGGCTGATTTTATGCGGATAATTCAAGTTTTAGTTTCATTTTGGCTTCTTTTCTAATTTGTAACTGATAATTATGCCTGATATCTATAAATATCATTGTCAGTTTGCAACATGCGAGAATCATTCAATAATTAATATTTTTTAAATATTTTATTAAAACATTATATTACTATTAAATATATAAAATAATATTACATATAATTAATAATTTAATAATATTATTTTAAAATATTATAATAATTAATAAATATTATTTATAAAGTATAATAAGAGTAAACTATATTCATCACTTAACTATTTTTCCACTCTTATTTTGATCATTAAAGCTTAATAAGAGTAAATTACATTCATCACTTAACTATCTTTTTACTTTTATTTTGGTTATTAAAGTTTAAAAATTTTCAATTTAATCACTCAACTTTCGATTTATTCTTGTTTTAGTCACTCTATTGTTAAATAATTAACGGTGTTATAACATCAATTTGATGTCCATTTGCCATATGCACCAAAAATGAATAAGCATTTGGTGAAAGTGAAACCCAACAATCAAATTGAAAGAATAGACCGGCACCAGGGATGGACCTCTTAAGGAAAAAAAATAAACATAAATGAATAATTAAGAAGACACACAGATTTTTCTTTTATTTACATTCATAACTGCGAAAAGAAGAGTCCCAAAGGTGGGTTCGACCCAAATATAGACAACATCATCGTCTAGTTTGATAAGTATTCTTTTTTTCAAATGACTTTGAAAAGAACCGTTAAAATATTTTTAAAAGTATTTTAAAAAATACAATTTAAAAAAGAGAAAATAATCTCAGTGACAAAAAATCCTAGATAATATACGATTTTGACCAATTTTTTTTACGAAAATGACCAACAAAATCGCAATGCGATCTCTAATTCGCATTGCGATCTCCACTATCGCAAATTCGCGTTGCGATAGTTGAAAATCGCGTTGCGATTTTCCAAATTCGTTGTGATAGTTAAAAAAAAAGATTTTGTTTCTTAAGAATTTTCTTTAAAAAGATAGTATCCGCGCTGACGTGTCGAAGACACGTACGACCACGATCACGACCACGACGAGACGAGACGAGACGAGACGAGACGGGCGGCGGTGGCGGCGGCGCGTGAGAATCCCCCTTGTTCTCTATCACTCAACAAGGAAGTGAGAAAGCCAAGCCTTAAATACCATTCCCAATAGTGTTTCCAATACTATGTGAGATTGAGCATTACCAACACTTGTTTCCGATAGAATGTGATTATTCAGAAAACAATTAACAATCATGCACCTTAAAACAACTGAATCAGCAACCAATTGCATTAGTATTATACGATTAAATAAGTCAGAATTAAAAGTCAATCTACAATCAATCGCGATTATTGCAATTTTAAGCAAAACATTCAAAAATAATATCACTATTTAAGGCTCAATCCCACATAGTATTGGGAACAAGTGTTGGTAATGCTCAAATCCCACATAGTATTGGAAACACTATTGAGAATGGTATTTAAGGCTTGGCTTTCCCACTTTCTTGTTGAGTGATAGAGAACAAGGGGGACTCTCGCGCGCCGCCGCCGTCTGTCTCGTCTCGGGTCGGGTCGGGTCGGGTCGGGGTCGTGGTCGTGGTCGTGGTCATACGTGTCTTTGACACATCCGTGCGGATACTATCTTTTTAGAGAAAATTCTTAAGAAATAAAATCTTTTTTTTAACTATCACAACGAATTTGAAAAATCGCAACGACAACTGTAGACTATCGCAACGACAACTGTAGACTATCGCAACGAATTTGGAAAATCGCAACGAATTTGGAAAATCGCAACGACAACTGTAGAATATCGCAACGTGAAATGAAAAATCGCAACGCGATTTTCAACTATCGCAACGCGAAATTGAAAATCGCAACGCGAAATGGAAAATCGCAACGCGATTTTCAACTATCGCAACGCGAAATGCAACGCGAATTTGCGATAGTGGAGATCGCAATGCGAATTAGAGATCGCATTGCGATTTTGTTGGTCATTTTCGCAAATCTAAAAAAAGTTGGTCAAAATCGTATATTATCTGGAATTTTTGGTCACTGAGGTTATTTTCTCTTTAAAAAATAATTATTTGACATTTTTATTAAATATAATTTCGAAGAGATAAAATGTATATTTTAGATGTTATACTGTAAATTAAAAATATAATATTTGATGATAAAATTATAATTTCATCCCAAAAGTAATTTTTTCACTCAAAAGTTAAAAATTTAAGTTTTTGAGATTAAGTTGAAATCATTTTTTCAACTATGATTTTAAATTATTTTTTTGGTGTTTAACATTACTTATGGCGTAGAAAATAATCTTTTCATTACCAAATGCATTCTCAAATTTAGTCGATTTTATCGCGAGCAACTATAACTTACAACCATATTACTAAATTACAGTTGGAGTTATCGTTGTAGTTATGGTTGTAGTGTCGTAGTTACGGATGTTACAACATAATTTATTTCTTAAAAATAAGTATCTTTTTATGTTACGGTTTGCAGTGTCGACGACCTTGAAAAATATTACGATACAACTGTTGTACTGTGTTATAATCGTAATCAGGGATGAACCGAGGAGGGATATATGTGTGTAGTTTGTCCTCCTGAAAATTTAAAATTACTATATATTTTATATTTTTCTATATACTTTTTTTATATTGAAATTATGTTTTCGACCCCCTAAAATTTTATAAGTTTGTTTATTTTTAAAATTTTAGAAATTCATCTCCTATAATAATATTGGGTAAACTACACGGGAGACCACTAAACTATGATCAAAAATCAATTTGACCACCGAAGTTTCAATTGAATCAATCATACCACCCAACTATTTAAATGTTTCAATCAAGCCACCGACCGTTAATTTTTAATGGAGGTGGTGACGTGGCAGTTAAAACATTTTGGTATAATTTACAATTGATCCCTATAACTTATATATTCTTTCAATTTGATCCTAATTTTAATAAATTAAAATAAATTTAACCATAGAATCAGGAAGTGCCACGTGTCATTAGTGACACATGTCATGACACATGTCTTTAATCGATTGGATGACTAAATTTATTTTAATTTAATAAATTTATTTTCCAGGTGAAAATAAATCTATACAAAAGGTGGGTGAGAGGAATTGAACCCAGGTTGTTTGGCTAGATTATTATAAATCAAGCCATTGAGCAAAAACCACTTGATATGCTTTGGACAATAAATAATATATATATTGTACTTTAATATATAAATGTTTTACTCAAAATTAAAGAATATTTTATATATCTTAAATTTTAAAATTATCTTTTATTTTTGTTTTAATTTATTAAATTTATTTTATTTTTTCTTAAGTTATTAAATATATTTATTTTTATTTTAATGTAAAAATATATATTTATTTTTATCATCGCTTAAAAATATATATTTTTTAAAATATTTTAACTTAAAATATATATTTTATCTAAATTTTAAAAAATACCTTAACTTAAAATATATTTAAATATTTTATTATTAATTTAATATAAATATATATTTTATTAATATCTTAACTTTTAAAATTTATTTTTTTTAAATATCTTAACTTATATTTTATTTTATTTTATTTTTAAATTAAAATAAATTTTGAAGTTAAGATATTTTAATATATTTTTAAAAATTTAGATAATGATAAAATATATTTTTAATTTAAAATAAAAATAAAATATATCTTTAAGCGAAGATAAGAATAAAATATTTAAATATATTTTTAAGTTAAAATATTTTAAAAAATATATTTTTAAGTGATGATAAAGATAAAATATATATTTTTACATTAAAATAAAAGTAAATGTATTTAATAAGTTAAGAAAAAATAAAATATATTTAATAAGTTAAAACAAAAATAAAAGATAATTTTAAAATTTAAGATATATAAAATATTCTTTAATTTTGATTAAATATATTAAGGTACAATATATATATTATTTGTTGTCTGAAGTATATCAAGTGAATGTCTTAGCTCGACGGTTAAATCTATTTTAATTTATTAATTGGATCAAATTGAAAGAATATATAAGTTATAGGGATCAATTATGAATTATACCAAAATGTTTTAATGGCCACGTCACCACCTCCGTTAAAAATTAACTGTCGGTGGCTTGATTGAAACATTTAAATAGTTGGGTGGTCTGATTGATTCAATTGAATCTTCGTTGGTCAAATTGATTTTTAACCATAGTTTAGTGGTCTCCCGTATAGTTTGCCTTATAATATTCTAATATAAAATTAGGTAAACTATATAAATGACCACCCAACTATGGGATTGGTCTCGAAATGACCACCATTTTTAGATTCATGTCAATATGACCACTAAACTATTTAAATGATTTAATGTAGCCACATGCTGTTAACATTTAACAGACGTTTTTACGTGGCAATTAACAAAATTGGTATAACTAGGGTGCAGGTCATTATAAAGTTATATATTCACGGTATTGGCACCCTACTTTGTTTTCTTCCATTTTGATCACTATTTGTATATGATTTGTTTACTTGGATTTTCATTTAATGCAATTTGATCCGGATTCTGTTTTTAATTTGTCTAATGCCTTAATTTGAGCATTAATTTAATTTTTTTTTCTAGTCATGTATTAAATTTATAGATTAAATCTCCCATATTTAAGAATTAATCGAAGAGCCAATTTTCACATTTGTTATCAAGATAATACAAATGTTATATAACTTGTTCATGTTTAGGTAGAACATAAAACTAAAATAAGTTAATTTCATTTGAACCTAAAATCAGTTAGTAATCAAGCAAAGCCTTAACCAATAGGTTAAATCTAATATTTGTGTACCATCCATAGCCCATATACATCTTGTAATACTAATCTGAGATGTTACATTAACATTACAAGCATTCTTTGTACATAAACCCTTA